GTTTATTGTAATTTTGAACCCAGCAATGATTCAAATACTTGTTCATTAGATATGATTATTATGTTTATCATATTAAAACAATGCATATAAATTAAAAAGTCTATTATCTATTGAACAAAAACTATATTTAATAGATACACAATTAGATCGACCAAAATACTGCCAGCAAAGATACTGCTACCCAGCCTGACCCAACACTATTTTGAAAAGTCAGGCCCTAGAAAACCAATAAAAAATGTTTTATGATTGACAGTCAGAAATTATGACTTTGTATTTATATTCTATCTCATTCTGTTGTATCTAAAATTTTAACCTGTGTAGTCCCTGTGTTTTTACAAAGAAATATTCCATTTAAAAATTGTAGCATAAAATAGACATGTGTTAGTAAATATATCACATATAGATAACTTGTTTCAGTGGAAAAAATTATTAAAAATCCTGTAAGATTTGGCTGTAAAAAGACCTAATTGCATGTTATTTGAAGAATTCGTATATGCTACGACAGTGGTGCTCAGGTTGAGATGTTTAGCATCTATATATTTGGTTCACAGCAAATTCTAAACTTTTCAACAGTGTAATACCATCACAGAGAGGCTTGGCTAGACGATTACAAAGAAAAAAAATCCAAACAAATAGTAATACAGTGAGTCTGTTAGAATGCTGTATAACCAAAACAACATTCTACAGAAAGAAGCCTTTAACATTTTCTTTCGAAGCAGAACAATTTTAATAGGAGAAAATTTAACAGAACAACTAGCTCCAAAACTTTAAACCTACCCAATCCAGAGCAATATCTTCATCCTCTTTAATTATAAAAAAAAACTATGACCCAAAATCCCACAGGAATGAAGCTGTGTATATTTTCTAATACCATTACCATGGATTAGAAACAGAAAAAGCTCATTAGCATTTAGCCATAACTTAAAATGTTGTGTTAATGAGAAAAATGTATTACAGCAATTTAATTCAACTAAATAACTGTCAAGTGTTCAAATACAGCTCCAAAGAACTTGTGCTTCTGGTCTACTTAAAATATGTTCTAAGAAGCCAAAGTCCATGTACAGAGGAGAGTCTGTAAAAAGCTTGTCAACTGTTGTCTAAAGCTGCCCACAATATCTTTTGCAGAAACTGCTATACTGGAAATTGCAGTGTTGAACAACAGTGTGTAATCATGGCCATCAGGCTAAGCACAGCTGATGATGGATATAATAGTTCCAAAGGAAACATGGGCGCTAGTACATTGTTCTTATTTCTTATAAAGTGCAATTAACCACAATAAATATTTATAAGCTGAAATTCCTTGATCCAGTCTGTAAATTCTCCTGTTTAAAAATTTTAAGATTCATAAAAACAGGTAATAGGTCCTAGAAACATTAAAATCAGTTGGCAAACACAAGTTATAGTGAGATTCTACAAGTGGCTCTCTTATCTCATGTTTTTTAACTTTATACATTTTTTAAAAAACCTATGCGTAGATCTTCTGATTTTTTTATTCTAACTGATAAACACCAATAAAACACCTCGGATACATACATACATATTGTTATTTTCCAGTAAACACCAGAAATGGTTATCAAGTTTACGTTAACATTCCTACTTTTCTGAGGCACTGTGCTCATGAAATTTAATCCTTTCCATATGGGCTCATGTATAACTATTATTTTTCATTATCTTAACTAATCTAACTTTACATAACCTAATACATTTCAAACTTTTATATTTTAGTTAGTTCTATATAAGTAAATAAAAAACATACTTTTAATACAAGAAATCTGGGACTTATGTTTGACATTTTCATTTTTTTCTGTTGTTTGCCAATGAAACATAAGCCTACTTTTTGTATGATGATAAAAGTAAATTAAGTATTTTTTATTTAGTTTATTTTAAAATGTAAACTCCAAAAACATCAAAACATAGAAGATCTACCTATGTGTATGACAGGGTCAAAGGTATGTTAATCTTTTGAAGAATCACTTTCAAAATTTAATTAACAATTTTTTTATCGATGTATGTCATTTAACTTGGCATTAAAACATAGTTCATAATTCAAAACTTTAATATTATCCAAGTTTTAGTTTCTTAATTTAAAAAAAATTATTAAAATTAAATTCTAAATTTTCACTCTCCTGTCTTGTGTGACACAGTTTGACTTTGGTTTCTTCCATCAGTTTTTCAACATTACAAATAGGGTAATAAATAAATTAAATTCTCAATTTTCACTCTCCTGTCTCATGTGACACATCTTGACTTTGGTTTCTTCCATCAGTTTTTTGACATTACAAATAGGGTAATAAATAAATTGAGTATTCCAAAAATTGTTAAATTTTGAAGTCTAAGTTCAAGGGAGGTCCAGTTCAATCTACACTTTGATTAACATGTGTTATTGGGTTATACTAATTTTGGAGAATTCCACTCCTCATCAGTAACCCTTAACACAAGTTAACCAAAGAGAGACAAGCTGGACCTATATGAAAAGTATAACCCAATAACACACGTTGATCAAAGTGTAAATTGAACTGGACCTCCCTTCAAAATTAAACAATTTTCGAAATAATAAGTATTTATTATATCTGCTATTATGCGGCTATATAATGTGAAAAACTGAATAGTCGCCAATGACACTTTTTCCTTCACTTCATCTATCCAGTGTACAAGTCTTCCTCATAGTGAATATTAAACATGTTCCCACTAACTGTATGTTTTGTTACAAACAGGATGTTGAGGCTTACAACCAATTAAAAATACAAACTACAAATAATGTCAAAAACGAGTATAAAATTTGAAAATCCTATTCTTGATTTGTTGATATATCAATACATTTGTAAGGCCCACTAGCAAAGCCTCTTCCACCTTTTCATGCCAATTATCAACATCACTTTATTTTTCTGATGGATATGTTTGTAACCAATACAAAAAGTACTGAATAATGTACAGGAAATTTATAAGAAGCCTCAATGTATTTCTTTGGTTTGCTGACTCAAGCTGTGCTCATAAGCCTTGAATAGGCAAAACTGCAGTCCACGTACAACCAATCAAGGAATGTGTTAGAGGCCTCTACATTACAAATTCTCTTTTCAGTTTTACTTTTGGTGAAAAAGAAATCTGTAACATATGTACACAGCATGGTCACAAGTAAATAAACATTACCTTTTCAGAAAAAATGAAATTTTTCAGTCATATTCACATGAACTGATATATTTATAATTTAATTAATATCTAGTAGATCTTCCTTTCACTTCGTGGTAGTTCGTT